CGAATCACTACGAGAGCGGTATAATTTAACTCATCTGGAGAGTAATACTTCGCAGATCGAAATAGGTTTCGATCGCGAGTGAGTTGAGAGCTATTCAAAATCAGTGATTTAATCCTAGTCCCTGGAATAAAGGAAAAAAGCAGTGATTCAATGCCAAAGGCGGCAGATCTTAAATGTCTCGCAGCGTCTCAGCGCTATGAGATATTAATATCACTCTAATAATTAAAGGAATGAGAATAAAGATTTGGCAACGCCGATTTAACAAGAGAGAGTTAGGTATAGCGTGAACTGCAGGCACAACAAAGATAGTTATATTGTCATGCCCACGCGGAAGTCAAATCGTACAGTTTGTTAAATATTTGTAGCGACAACAGCGCCAGCGGTATATACCCGAACTAAAGGAAAGTTTTGTAGGTATATATGGTACGCACTGACTTCCAACCTAAAATTTGAAATTACGCTTTTTTCAACCTCTATATGACATTGCGCTAAAAAAATGCACTTTTCGTAGTGACTTCCGAAATCGGAAGTCACATCGTTATATATGAAGTCACAACGTCTAGTGAGTATCTATTTTGGAAGTCACTTGGTACTATTTATCAATATATATATATATATTAGGGTGTTTCAAAAAAATCGACTTTTTCTTTTTCTTCAAATGGTCAGCAAATTCTTTTAGAGGATGTCAAAACAAAGACCTCGTTAAAATTTGAGCTTTTAATTTAAAGATTTAGAGGTCGCGGATCGCAATTTTCTATTTCCCATTTAAATAACATAGGAAATTTTTTGTTTTAACTTTGGAATTTTATACGTCTATATCGAATCAACTTATGGCAAGGGACATCTTATATTTTTATAGTAAATTTAACGCTCTATAAAAAATGTCTCTTATAATTTTTCTATAAATTGATTTCTTCCAGAGTTATTCGAGGCCAAAGTTTGATTTCCATCGAATTTTCTCGTTTTTTCAACTTTTAGCATAATGTAGTAAAAAAATCACATATTTATATCTGAAACATAGGAAGTTTTGTAAAAAAACAAAAAAACAAAAAAACGTCACTTTTTTCCAAAGCCTACTACAAAGTTTTAATGAAAATATGAGATGTGTATAATATGCAGAGTAATTTATATATAAATGCATTTTTCTCGAAAATGGTGCATCTGAGCAATTCAAATCAAGAGTACCTATTTTTCGTAAAAAACTATAAATTCTCATAATTTCATAAAAAAAAATAAAATTATTAACCCAGAAAAAAGTTGGGGCTATTTTTGTAACTTTGCCCCCTCCAAATGTTACGCCTATGATTAAATTTTAACAGTTTTGATCGTAGATCTAGATTCAGCATGTCAAAATTCGAAAAGTACCGAAAATTCATTTGTTCATGTTCAACCCTCTAAGAATAGTTTTAAAAAAATTATCCTCTTAGGTTCCTATTCAGGGGGCCGTAGCTCCTTTAGGGAGCATTTTTTGATACATGTTTATTAAACAAAAAAGTGTTATTTTTATACGAATAATGCACTGTTTAAGTTTGGCCCCCCTAATTTCGGTTTGGCCCCGTATAATGATAATTGTACCATAAATGTTAAAAAAACGCGAAAATTCGATGGAAATCAAACTTTGGCCTCGAATAACTCTGGAAGGAATCAATTTATAGAAAAATGATAAGAGACCTTTTTTGTAGAGCGTTAAATTTACTATAAAAATCTAAGATGATCCTTGACATAAGTTGATTCGATTCAGACGTATAAAATTTTAAAGTAAAAAAAAAAAAATTCCCATGTTATTTAAATGGGAAATAGAAAATTGCGATCCGAGACCTCTAAATCTTCAAATTAAAAGCTCAAATTTTGACGAGGTCTTTGTGTTGACATCCTCTGAAAGAATTTGCCGACCATTTGAATAAAAAGAAAAAGTCGATTTTTTTGAAACACCCTAATATATATATATATATATATATATATATATATATATATATATATAATATAAATACAGAAGAGTTTCAATACTCGATAAAATGTCGCACCCGTACATTTTGAGAAAATTTTAGAAAATAAAATATGTGTGCATTTAAAATACGTGCTTGTTTAAGGTTACTGTTAAAGTTGTACACAAAAAATTATTACTATATGCTTCCATCCAAAATTGTACAGTATCAACTTTGGTCGCATTGCCAATTTTCTAAGGTCGCGCCCGTTACGCTATTCATGACGTTATTTTTTATAATAACGTATCTTGATATATATATGAACAAACACTTTATTATAATGAAAAAACGCAATTTTAGTGTCGCACCCGTTACAATGGAAATACCCAATAGTAAAGCTTAAATTATAAAACGTTTGAACATACAATTATTTATTGCTAATAATAAGCAAAAATTGTGGAACATTGTAAAAAATTAAGTCATCTACAACTTTCTCATTTAAATGTGGCACTCAGGGCCGGCCCGAGGTCCGGGCGAACCTGGCAACGGCCCAGAGCGGCATAATGGGGGGCGGCACTTTTACGATTTGTTAATGATAATCAAGAATAATAATAATCAAGAATTAAGAATTACGCTCGAGAAATGCAGTTTAGATAATTTAATATCTTTGTTACAAAGATTTGAAAGAGGCGCTTTCTTTCATTCGTTTCTTTAATCACATCCTGTAGTTTTTATACTTTTGTTTGACAATTGACAATTAATAATTGACAAATATTATATCACGATTGGGCTTGTAAAATCAGTGCATTGCTAAGGTAGTTTGATAATTAGAAGTATAAAATGTCTGAAAAACGCAAAAAAGATTCAGGAACTTGTTATAAAAACAAAAGAAGGTCGCGTGCAGCGGAAAATCTAGTACTAGCACCAACCTTTTCCAAATTCTTGCAAAAAGAACCATCGTAGGCAGGTATAATAGTTATACTATACACTGAAAGAAATATATGTTTGTTTTAGCAATGTATGTGGTAGTCTATATATGAAACATAAAATATATTTACCTTAACCATTTTTATATTTAGTTTTAACATATTATGTTAAAACTAAATATAATATATGTTTGTTTTAGCAATGTATGTGGTAGTCCATATATGAACCATATACATTTGCTAAAACAAACATATATTTCTTTCAGTGTAATTAAACAATATTGCATATAAGAAAATGAGGTTTTATTTTTGTTGTGTACATCTAAACATTGTTTTTAGAGGTCTAAAATCAATGATCTGACGTGCATCACAGCAGCATTCGGTTTTGCCAAAGTTCGCTAAACTCATTACGTAATAAAAAAAAATGAACCTATGAATATTACCAGTAATGGGTCAAGAAAGTTTCTTAAAAAAACTAGGAAAATTAAATGTTTCATTACGTAATTATTGAGTTAATTTACTTTTAAAGATGATTCACCTGAAGTAAGTTCCTTAAAATGTTCGGATGCACTCGGTCTGTATACTTTTACATTAAAAATACGATATTGCGAAAGTAAATTTTAACAAACCAAAGAATTATTGTAATTTAAAAATATTGTTTAATTATACTCACTATAATAGCTATTATAGTGAGTATAATTAAACAATATTTTTAAATTACAAAAATTCTTTGGTTTGTTAAAATTTACTTTCGCAATATCGTATTTTTAATGTCACTAGTGACACTATTTACAGTATATAATAATATATAGGATATAATCATTGACAAGTGATGCAATTAAGTATGTGTATATATTGCCTTACCTAGTAATTCTAAAGCATAAAAAACTCTTATAAAAAATTAATAAATTTGAAAAAAATAATTACGTTAAACTACTTTTTTTCCTATTCCTGCTGAATAAAATGGGGGCGGCAAAAAAGGTCGGGCCGGCCCTGGTGCCACTTATTTAAAAAAAAACGCTTCAAAAGTTGGAAAACTGCACCACTTTATGTCTATTATTTTCAATATATGTATATGTATATGTATATATGTATATGCACAATGGATTGTGTGTATATGTATGTTGTGCAACGAGTGGGGAAATTGGTCGATTCTGAATAAGCATTCGTTTGATACGCGAGCAAAGCGAACGTAGCAGAAATGCGGGTTTAGAATCGACCATTCTTCACGAGGTGCACATATTATTTGGTCCTTCAATTAAATAAACGTTAATTAGTATACTTAGTTAACATTTACAATATCAAACAAATTGACTTAGTTTATCCCAAAATCATCATATATGATGATTTTGGGATAAATGTTAAATAAGTAACCATTTGCCATGGCCATGGCAAATGGTTACTACTACCACCTAATTTCCTGTATTTCTTAATTTTTTTAATATTTTTTTGAATGAAAGTCAAACTTTGTTCCAAATATGTAAACAATGTTTAGAATCATATGAAATGTTCTACAAATTTGTTTCTGGACAACCTTTTTCATCGAGAAATGCAAAATATACGTGCAAATCGACAAAAACACAAAATCTGAAATGGTTGACACTTCCCATAATTAATTAATAAGGAAAAACATAATTTATTTACCTACTACGCAGGGGACAATTAACTTCCTCAAAAGTTTTACTTTGTAAATTAATTTCATAAAAATGATTGGGCTATGTTTAAATTTTAGTTGTGCAATTTTATTTAAGACTTCGCTTCTGAGAAGTACTTTAAGCACTTTGTATTTTGTTTTGGTGTTGTGGAATATTCTCATGAATGTTTCTTTTAAATAATTTACAGACTGCTTTTCAAAAATATTTTATAAAACTATTTTTAAAAAACAGTTTGTAATTTTATTTGTATTGTAAAAATAAGTTTTATGGGCCAAAAAATGTGGTTTAGTATAAAATAAAAATTCCCTTTTACAGTAAACCTCTAAAATGATTTTTAAATTGCTATGTTTTACTAAAAATCCAATTGTAACAACTATGTGGTGAACACTCGGGACAACACTTTATTATTTTCCAACGCTGGCAATAAAATGGCTTCAATTTACTTCAATAAACAAACCCCACAAGTAAGTTAATTTTATTTTTGTTCATTTTAGATTTTTCAAGACAACATCGGCGAAGGTCTAATGCAGTTCATCTATTTTCCACTTCACGGACTAGCCATGTCTCACGCCTGCTATAACCCCATAATATACTGCTATATGAACACGAGGTTTCGCGACGGACTAATTTTGGTTTTACGGTCCATCCCTTGTTGCAGAAAATATATGACTCATGTATCCGCTGCAGGATATCCGCACACAGGTAAAAAATTAATTTAATTAAAATTAGAAGCTTTATAATTATAACTAATCATAAAAAGTTATAAAGAATATACATCACGTGGAACAGAGATTTATTCGGTACTAAAGTTATTTTTACGGAACAAAGAACGTGCACGTATAAAATCAATGTTCAAAAGTGTAAGCATTGTAAAACCACGTTGGACTAAATTAAATATGGCACTTAATACCAAATTTATTAGAACTCTTATAAGCAGAAATTAAATAAAAAAAAACGTTTTAACGCACTATTAGTATACTATAGTATTAAATATTATAATTTAATTAAAATATGTGGTATTATTAAACTTGTCACTCTTCAATGGATTTTAATCTTCAATTACTATATGCCATAGTGGCAGTTCGGTTCCAGCGCTCGAGAAGACACGTCGCGTGCGGGAAAGCTCTTGAAACGTAAAAGTTTAAAGATAAAACCAACAATAATTATAAAAAAAAAGTGCAAACTAATAAGTGAAACAAACATTTTCATAGAGTGCAAACTAAAATGGTGTAATGGTCATTGAGGAGTGAAGTGTTGAGTGATATGAATGAGTTAAGTGCCAACTGTCATTGGAGGCTTTTCACAGGACAGACAGGGGAGGTCAAACAAGAGGGGAGGTGGCCATCCGCAAAAAAAAGCTGATAAGTTCTTTAAGAATAAGCATGACCTGATACAAATCTGCAATTTAAATACGGCAGATCCCAGCAAACATTTTCCGTTATTTGTCACCATTAACATTGCCCGTTATTCATTTTATTAAACATAATATTTATTTTTACTTGAACATGTTAAAATAACTTTAATATGATTATGTTAAGAACATATTTTACTCTTTAAACAATTGTTCTGTTTTTAATTACTATCATTGCAAAATTGTATTGAAAAGTATTAAAAATTCTTTCACGGGCAATGTTGATAATGATAGGTACCGTTAAGGTGTTTATTGGGATATCTTTAAAACCTATGAAAGGCACACAGCATGGGGCAATAAATCTGTCAACAACAAATGCGTAAGGCAATCCCAATCGAGACCGAAAATAAACACTAGACTTACAGAATAAACTAACACATTAATCATAATTCTAACACATTAAAAAAAAGCCTAATAGCCAAACTCGAGATTTGTAAACATTAGACAACAGAATAATCGCGCTTGTAATTTGTTTAACTAATAAATAAATGCAATGCTTAATTTTGGAATTTAATAAAAAAAGACAAAACTCTATCACAAAACGTGCTTGGGACAAAATTTTTTAAAAACAACTGACACACTTTACCAAGTGCAGGAACTATCTGACCAGGACACGGACAATGAAAATAACGAACAAGACAAAGACCTCGACTAGGAAACTACACCCCTGCAGCGAAATAACATCTCCCCAACTCCAAATAGTAATCCCAAATGTTTGGAGTAATACTAATCGACTGGTCTAGGGGGATTCCGCGTTGTACTTAGTTTTAAGTCGGCGTAATTGTCCCCCAAAAACCAACACCCTCCCGTCCCTCCTCCATACCCCACCGAGCGTATAGCATAGGCTCGGCGAACCCGGGAACGGCTATTAAAACTATTCGCCTCTCGCTCTCGAGCCCCAAATAGGGGACAGTACGGAACGCAATGGACATTCGCACCCAGCAAACACGGGTGAAGCCGTGCAGTTGCTGGGGAAGAACAAAAATCGGCGTAAGTAAACATAGGCCTGTACGGGGTTCGAGAGTCAAGAGGAAATGGGGCTGGTTATACGTCTCTTATACTCATACTCATACTCATACTCAATTACTATATGCCATAGTGGCGGCTGGTGGATTTTGGCACACCCATATCTCAGTTATTAGACATGGGACCCACCCATCAAATTTATATGAGTTTATAATGACATTATATAGACAAGTTCTGCGTAAGCAGAATTTAAATTAAAGTTTGCGAAAAAAAGTTAGTTTTTAAGTGCAACCCCCAGCCTCCTGCCCCTCCAAATTAAGATAATTTAAATTAAAGAGGTACAATATTTAATTCACTGAAGTTTATCGACAAATTTCAAATTTTATTAAAAAAATTCAAGTATTACAGATTTTATACCATTTCAAATTTTTTTAAATTTAGTAAAAGAAATAATAAAAATTATAAATGGTATAAAACCTGTAATTCTTAAATTTTTTTAATTAAATTTGAAATTTGTCGATAAACTTCAGTGAATTAAATATTGTACCACTTTAATTTAAATTATCTTAATTTGGAGGGGCAGGAGGCTGGGGGTTGCACTTAAAAACTAACTTTTTTTTGCAAACTTTAATTTAAATTCTGCCTGCGCAGAACTTGTCTATATAATGCCATTATACACTCATATAAATTTGATGTGGGTCCCATGTCTAATAACTGAGATATGGGTGTGCCCAAAATCCACCAGCCGCCCCACGCTGTTTCCCATATAGTATATGGGAAACAGCGTGGGGCGCCTTTCGGTTACGTCTTTTTTCGGAATTACATCGATTATATGTTAACTATGGTTTCGCGTAAAAATCGAACAAATTTTGGACATTTGTTTGCAAGTGCTGTCAGAATTGAATATATTGTTTTAACCTTGTTTCTTCATCTAAATGGTGCATTTTTTTTTTAATTTCATCCATTGACCGCTGTGGTTAACAGGCCTTAAGTTACTCTACTGTGTTAAAAATAGATAAATTTTGATATTTTGTAATAACATTTTTATTTAAAAACGTATCGATTTGAAATTAAGTACTGTCGATACCGGCGAAGCGAGCGGATGTGTAATTCGAGCGCTCGGTGCCGATCCACAATAAAATTCTTAAAGAAACATAACTATTATATACAGTGTAGTCGAGTAAAGTACGGTGCGAAACAGTGCTACTATTTGGGTTACTATAGTATGTATACATAACGGTACAGGTGAAATCAGGGTACTCGCGTGCGGGTGAGCTCTTGAAACCTAAAAGTTTAAAGATGAAACTAACAATAATTAAGTGAATAATTAAGTGAAACAAACATTTTCATGGAGTGCAAGCTAAAATGGTATAACGGTCATTGAGGAGTGGAGTGTTGGGTGATATGAATGACTGGGGTGTCACCTGTCATTGGAGGCTTTTCACTGGACTGACGGGGGAGGTCGGAGAAGAGGGGAGGTGGCCATCCGCAAGGGGAAAAATCTGATAAGTTTTACTTTAAGAGTATGCATGACCTGATACAAATCTGCAATTTAATTATATATTATTTGTCACCATTAACATTGCCCGTATTCATTTCATTAAACATAACATTTATTTTACTTGAAAATGTTAAAATAACTTTAAAATATGATTATGTTAAGAACATATTTTACTCTTTAAACAATTGTTTTGTTTTTAATTACTATCATTGCAAAATTGTATTAAAAAGTGTTAAAAACTCTTACACGGGCAATGTTAATGGCGATAGGTATCGTTAAGTGTTTATTGGGATATCTTTAAAACCTATGAAGAGCACGCGGCGTGGGGCAATAAGTCTGTCAACAGCAAATGCGTAAGGCGGTCCTAATCGAGACCGAAAATAAACACTGGACTGACAGAGTAAACTAACATTGATCACATAATTCTAACACATTAAAAAAAAGGGCCTAATAGCCAAACTCGAGATTTGTAAACATTAGACAACAGAATAATCGCGCTTGTGATTTGTTTGACTAGTGAATAAATGCAATGCTTTGGAATTTGATAAACAAAGACGGAACTCTACCACAAAACGTGCTTGGGACAAAAATTATTAAAAACAACTGACACACTTTACCAAGGGCAGGAACTATCTGACCAGGACACGGACAATGACAATAACGAACAAGACAAAGACCTCGACTAGTAGACTACACCCCTGCAGCGAAATAACAACTCCCCAACTCCAATTAGTAATCCCAAATGTTTGGAGTAATACTAATCGACTGGTTTAGGGGGATTCCGCGTCGTACTTAGTTTTAAGTCGGCGTAATTGTCCCCCAAAAACCAACTCCCTCCCGTCCCTCATCCATACCCCACCGAGCGTATAGCATAGGCTCGGCGAACCCGGGAATGGCTATTATAACTATTCGCCTCTCGCTCTCGAGCCCCTAATAGGGGACAGTATGGAACGCAATGGACATTCGCACCCAGCAAACACGGGTGAAGCCGTGCAGTTGCTGGGAAAGAACAAAAATCGGCGTAAGTAAACATAGGCCTGTACGGGGTTCGAGAGTCAAGAGGAAATGGGGCTGGTTATACGTCTCTTATACTCATACTCATACAAACGTATCGATTTGAAATTAAGGTAAAATGTAGACCTAATTAATGACAATAAATCCACGTATTCTTTTTTTTAGATTTTAACATACATGTATGCTGCAGCTGGGGACAATTTAATTTAAAATTTTGCCATTTTTTAAGGGTTTAAAAATCGAAAAAGCAACCTTGTTTTTATAATTTTAAGTATATCACGGTAAAGTACTGATAATTAGGTAACTATAATTTGATATATAAACAGAGGCGGATTATCCCTAAGGCAAACTAGGCACGTGCCTAGGGGCGCGAGGTTACAAGGGGGCGCGAAGTTTTTATGAACACCGAGTAGGTATTTATTGAAGAAAGATTTACAACTTATTGGTTTGATTATTTAATCAGCACGCGCAAGTGAGTTTTGAACCGAAGAAAATAATTAACATAAAATTATATATAAGGAACGTATGGCAGGCCCCATCGGCACGCCTTGCACTGATCTCCCAGGGTTATTTCACCCCCTTTCAGTTCTCCTACTTATCCCGCCACTGAACAGCATCACCTTTGTTTGGTGGATCCGCATTTTCACCCGCGTTGGTAAATCTCGCCTAGGAGGTCGTGGATGACAGTGTGGATGGTAAAGGCCACTCCCGGAATTTTTTCGCCGGGCCGGGCCATATGCCCGATTCAGGCTAGGAGTACTGGAAAAGGAGGCAAAACTAAGTACAATCCGGAATCCCCCTCAACCAGGG